GCCTAATACAAAGAGCCAAATCGCCCATCACACAGATTGCATTTAAAAACATATGAGACGCAGGGAAATGAAATAAACCTTCACAAATTCGTGTTGCGTTTTCTAAACGTTAAAACTGTTTTAACTTTGCATGACTTTCATTGCATCTCTTGCATGTGATGTGAGTGCAGCAGTCATATTTGTCCGTCTAAAAATGTGCTGAATATGGGTTCTGTGTGAATGGCTTGGTTTCGGTTTTAACCTAATCAAGATCTTCTATGCATTGAGCTACTATATTTCTCTAATATTTTGAACAAATAACGCAGCAACTGCGCGTCTTGTGGGCTAGACTAACAAAACATTAAAATGCAACGTCACTTACATCATCATCACTGCATCTCGCGCGCCACTGATGACGCTCCCTGATGCACTCCTAACATTCAATTGTACCATTTTTGCATTCAAATGCAAATGTTTATTTTAAATTAGACTATTATTCATTTTTTTAATTCACAGTCTCCTCATCACATGCAGGCACAGCACTCAATTCAGCATGTGTTCGTGTTTGTGTGAGCTGTCTGCGTCACTCATAGCACGTGCCTATATCGTGCGCTATATCGAACATTTTTTATATCGTTATCGATGAAGATGTACTGTCGATAAATATCGATACCGTTTTATCGCCCAGGCCTAGTTAATTGTATCTAATCATCTGCAATATTTGCCAGCTAATTATTTATCCTGAAAACGTATTTTCATTTGACATTTCCAATCTCCATTGCAATACTGAAAGTGCTATACAGTCCTTCACAGTGCTGTTTGTGCTAAATCTTCAAGGAAACCTTCTCAGTGACGGGCTGTAATAAATCCAAACTTGAATCTCAGCTTTATTGTTGGTGAATGGTTGCTGAAAAATGCACTTTAGTGCTACAGTACAAAGTTTTTTTGTTGTTTTAATAGACAAATGTTAACATAATTTGGAAGTTTTGGAATTTGTATTAGGAATTTCACTGTTTTTGCTTTAGAGATAAGCTTCTTAAGCTTTTACAAGAGAACGTTTTTTATTGAATGAGATAAATTATTTTAGATAATGTGTTATTGTATATGATAAATCAAGAAATTAGACGAGATGAAATAAGCCTTGTGTATAAGCTGACGTTTTTTTGTGCTTAAGGGAAAATGCAATAAGTCTGATGAAATGTCAAAAGAAATTTCTCAAGTGAGAACAGTCATGATTTACTAATTGCATCGATATTAAAGCCCTGCATCTAAAAAAAAAATCTTCTGACTTGCATAAAAAGGCTTAATATTACCTGCCATTTGAAGGTGCTGAGTTCAAAAATATCTATTTTTTTATACAGCTTTTTCACAGGATAAGAATTAAGAATTTTAATTACTAATTAAAATTATATATGTATAAGTTTAATACACATATTAAAATAACAAAAACATTCAAATGTCAAAAGTTTCATTAAACTTACAATCTGCAAATGAGTGGAAAAATATGTTCAAATACTCCATTAAATGTCAAAGAACTTTACATAAACAGTTTTTTTTTTTTTTCAAGCTTTTTTTCACAAAATCCTTAGTATGGATGTAGTAAAACACCCACAGATGTCACAGAGAATTGCGTGCTAATTCTCTATTTCTAGAATTAGCACCCAAAAGCAGTATTGGATCTCATTCAGCAAAAACGAAGTAGATTGGTGAATTTTTGAGGAAATAATTGTGATTATACATTTAACTTTTATCATGCAGCCCAGTCTCTGGATATTAAACCTGTTTGGGGCATTTGTGTGTGACAGGATCCTCGGAACACAGCTGGTGTGTCCTACAGATGAAGGATTCCAGTGGTACGCCACACCAGCTCTTGTGCCCATCCCCTCCAGTGGCGGCCAGAGCAATGAGAAAACTAATGAGTGAGTCATCTGGGGGTTGTTAATGTGTGTGTATGAAATCATTAGTGTTCTATAAAGCCTATTTTTCATGCCACTGTGTGTGTGTGTGTGTGTGTGTGTGTGTGTGTGTCAGGTTGTATGTGCAGGGTCGGAGGGCAGTTTTGTGTCAGCCCACTTTGGAGGTGACCCACCCTCATGCCATGCCCAGTAGTAACAATGGAGAGGAGTTGCCCAGGGTGATCGAGGCCGAGGGGCAGATAGAAGAGTATCTTGCCTTTGATTGCAGGGATCTGTGAGTTTGTTTGTGTGTGACAAATAGGAGTTTGTTATTAAACATCATTTGTCTGATATTTTTCTGAGATTTTTGTAGATGAATGATATGTGTGTTTATCTAGGGACGAGGAATGGGAACGTGAGTATGTGAAGAGACGGCGGAGGCGCTGGCTGCCCCCTGTCTCGCCTTATCGCTGTCGTCGGGAGGCGGTGCTTGATCTGCTGTTTGATGACGTGTGGTGTGAGCTCATCGGCTGGATGGAGGAGCTTGTACGTAGACATTGGGAGGGTTTTGTGTCAGGTAGGATGAATTTTCAAATATTTGTATAGCAAAATGGGAACTGGAATACTGGGACTACCATTCTAAAGTTTGCGATCTGTAACATTTTTTAAAAATGTTTTTTAACGATATCTCTTATTCTCACCAAGACTGCATTTAAATACAGTAAAAACAGTAATATAGTGAAATATTATTACAATTTAAAATATCTTTTTCCTATTTGAATATATTTAAAAAGGTAATTTATTCCAGTGGTGGCAAAGCCATTACTCAAATCTTTAGCATCACATGATCCCTCAGAAATCATTCTAATATGCTGATTTAATATTATTATCAATGTTGAAAATAGTTGCTGCTTAAGATTTCACTAACACTTTATTTTGAGGTGTCCTTGTTACACGTTACATGTACTTAATATTCTAATAACAATACATTATGCATAATTACATGCAAGTAACCCTAAGCCAAACCCTAATCCTAACACTAACCATATAGTAAGTACATGTAGTTAATTATTATTACCCAGTACTTAAATATATAATTACACAGTAACAAGGACACCTTAAAATAAAGTGTAACCAAGATTTCTTGTGGATATTGTAATTTTTTTGTATATTTTGTCAGGATTCTTTGATGAATAGAAAGTTCAAAAGAACAGCATCTATTTGAAGTTTTTTTGTAATACTGTAAAAGTCTTATTATGACTTTTGGTCAATTTAATGCATCAATGTTGAAAAAAAACATTCTTAAAAAAATATACTGACCCAAAACTTTTGAATGGTAGTGTATGTTTAGCAGCATCGAAATAATATGAATGCAGATTTCAATCTGGTTACGGCAGTGAGGTAAATGCATTTACATTATGCTTACATAATCAAAAAAATATTAACAAATTCTGATTTATATTCTTGTGCATGAAACAATATATAGGGGATAGTGCACATTATCAGGACATCACCCAGAAGGAGTTAATTTTGTGATACTGATCAACAGACTGTACATTGTAGGGATGCACCGATACTACTTTTTCCAGAACTAGGCCAAACCTTTATTTTAGGTACTTGCCGATACCGAGTACCGATACCTGTATTTTCATTGCATTTGTAATTTAAAAAAATATTGAGTACAGAAAGCAAAAGAAAATATATGTTTGTTGGCTTAGTTCATTTAGCAAATAGATATTTCCTTCAGTTATTTTCACACTAATTTATGCCCATTAAAATGGATTCTACAAGTTTTTGTTACTTTCTCTGTTCATTTTTTTGCTCTATGGTACATCTCTTTAATTTAATAGCATTAGAGCTGCTCCATTGCAGCGGCTCAGTACTGTAATCACAAGACGTTTTGCTGTAATAATGCAGGGAACCACTCGTTATATATAAATCTTATAAATAAAAACTGATGAACTGTGATGAAACAACTGGCATGAATATTAAATGTTTAACATTATATTAAATGAATACATATACCTCGTAGACATCCTTAATATCTAATAACTCAATTCTGCTCGCTGTTGTTCTGTTGTCAGTGTTTTTTTGTCTGGATACGGCACTGTTCACTTCACATGTTGTGTGGTATCGGTGTTTGGTATCAGAGCATTTTTATGAGTACGAGTACAGGAGCGCAGTATCGGGCCCGGTGCATCCCCAGTACATTGTACTAAAAATCGTCCTTCTAATTCAACAGCTCGCCAAATCATTTCAAGGGATAGCTCCCAAAAATGAAAATTCTGTCATTAAGTACTCACCCTCATGTCGTTCCAAACCCGTAAGACCTTCATTCATCTTCGGAACACAAATTAAGATATTTTTGATGAATTCTGAGAGCTCTCTGACCCTCCCATAGACAGCAATGTCACGATCAAGGTCCAGAAACGTAGCAAGGACATTGTTGAAATAATCCATGTGACATCAGTGGTTCAACCGAAATTTTACGAAGCTACGACAATACTTTTTGTGCGCAAAGAAAACAAAAATAACGACTTTATTCAACAATTCGTCCCCTCCGCGTCACCCTATAGCGCCATTTTGGAGAGTATCCACTGAATGTAAACAACGTATGCTGATCTGTGTCAATAGCTGCACGCGGATACGTTGTTTTCGTTCAGATCATAGCGTCAACAACGTATCCAACGTAAACAGCACGCGGATACGTTGTTTTCGTTCAGATCATAGCGTCAACAACGTATCCAACGTAAACAGCACGCGGATACGTTGTTTTCGTTCAGATCATAGCGTCAACAACGTATCCAACGTAAACAGCACGCGGATACGTTGTTTTCGTTCAGATCATAGCGTAAACAACGTATCCGCATATTTTTGTTTTCTTTGCGCACAAAAAGTATTCTCGTAGCTCCGTAAAATTATGGTTGAACCACTGATGTCACATGGATTATTTGAACGATGTTCTTGCTGCGTTTCTGGACCTTGATCATGGTAGGCTCCTTGCTGTCTATGGGAGGGTCAGAGAGCTCTCAGAATTAATCAAATATATATTAATTTGTGTTCCGAAGATGAACGAAGGTCTTACAGGTTTGGAACGACATGAGGGTGAGTACTTAATGACAGAATTTTCATTTTTGGGTGAACTGTCCCTTTAAGAAATGAAATACTGATTTGAGGTGAATTTATATTATGTGAGAGGAGACGGTGATAAGAGAAATATAGAGTTTAGGGGTAATTATTCAAAATGTTTTTTGAAAGCAGCATGTTGTGTTTGGCCGAATCAAGGATTTCAGAGAGCCATGTCAAGGTGAAGAATAATCTTTGTTAACTTCTCTGTCCATCAGATGATGAGAAGAATACTGTGGCCCTCAGCCCTGCCTGCCCTGATACCCAGAATCCTTTTCTGCTGCTGTCCAATGTCTCAACAGTGCTTCCTCCACTGTCACAGACCAGAACACAACAGCTCACGGCCAGCTTGCAGGCTCAGGTTAGTCAAATGCTTATAGAACAGAAGGGTTCCTATTTTTCCTTCTGTGACAGATGGATGCAACATTGATTTAATCTGAAATCCCATCTCACTGATTTCAGATATCTGTAACCTTCCCATCCCCTGCCATCTGCTTGATGATATCCTCCAAAATATTTAATTGACAGGATTCCCACGATCTTGGAAAAGTCATTGAGAATCTAAAATAATCTTGACATGTCTGTAGTGAATGGGTAGTTGACATGAAAAGCTTGAGGGAAGTTGCAGTACTGCATCCAAAACTATTTGACTTTTTATACAATGCATGCAATATTAATTGTGATAACTTGGAATTTTTGTACTTTAAAAAAATTAATTTGCCACGCTACAGTACAATTTAAAAATTAAGTCATAAAGGGGAAAAAATGAATAAAATTATGAAATAACCAAAAGAAACTGCACCACGTAACGTCCCTTATGCATTAATAAAATTTAAATAAATAAGTAAACAAAACATGGACATGTTTTGCATCAAATACTGCCCCAAAAATGTATTTTTTGCTCTAAAATATTTAATTGGCTAGAAATCGCATTATAGTTATAAAATTATGTAAAAAAACTTTACCAAATAATTGTAAACAACTGAAAGTAATACATTTGTCTGAAGCTGTGGGAATTCTGTATATATGCTTAGTCATTGTGGAGAGATCTTCACTGCTTTGTGTCCTCTCTGTCTTTACACATGTACATACTCAAAAATACACACAAATGCTGTATTTCACTGCTGTCAGCATTTGTCTTTCCAACTTTTTCCCCAGGCTTTTGATTCATTAACTTTTTACCTCCTTTTTTCTGTGTTTTCCTCTGTGTCCCTGTTTCTGCCTTTCTGTCCAATCATCCATCTGTCATCTGTATTCTTCCTTTCTCTTTCTATACCTCTCTATTTCTATCTCTTCCCTTCATTTTCTTTCCAAAGAGCTCAAAGTCATGGGGTTCAAAGCACAAGTCAAGACGGAAATCCAAAAAGCAGAGAAAGTCATCGACAGTATGTAACTCTACCCTGATAACAACACTTAAATAGAGAGGGCGAGCATCTGTGGACCAGTGTTTATAATGCTTGTTCCCACTCTTAGTTTTGTTTTTGTGTATTTTGTGTAATGAAATGTGTTTATGCGGTTTAAAGTTCAAAAAACATTATTTTTTTTGAACATTAAGAGAAATGACAAACAAGCGCTACTCTACACTGCTCAAAACTCGCCTTTGAATCGTCAGTGGAAAATCCTTTAAATGAAAATGTACTTACAGTCTGGGAGTCAGAACAGCTGGCATTGTAGTCTACTCTTCCAGGATCAGGAAACAGTCCTCCATAAAATGTGCTGCACACAT